GTTTTTCATGGACCGACTCGCGCGCCAGATTCAAAAGACCACCGCTTAAACTTAAGTTTCTGTGGACAGGGGTGGTTTCTGACGGAACGACCCGGGGTAAAATTCCCATGACGATTCCCATAGGAGAGACTCTCCTATGGGCAGCATGGGCATCCCCATGAGATGCCCATGGGGATGAAAACCCATGAAATTACATGGTTGCCACAAAATTTTTATTTCAATTTCCCCTGAGTTTCCCCTGATTTCCAGACCTTTCCTCCCCAAATTTTCCTGAGTTTTAAGCACCGTTCGTGGTGAAGTACAGGGGCAAACAAATACTCCCAATTGTAAGACTAGACCGCGAGCGTAGCGAGCGCGAAAAATTTTGGGTCAAAACACCCTACTGGGACGTCAAAATGAGTATTTGACCTAAACGGCGAATAGACTGCAGTTTGGGGACCAGTCAGACCAAATTTCCCTGACTTTTTTTCATTTTCCCTGAGTTTTCCCTGATTTCCCTGACAGTTTTTTATTTCCCTGAGTTTTTCAGGTTTTCAAGGTTTTCCAGAGTTGTGGCAACCATGAATTATGGCCTATGGGAACCCATGATGAACCCATAGGAACGGCTGGCATCCCCATGGGAAGCTGGCAATGGGAATCTTGCGTATGGGTAGATGTTCCTATGGGGAACGTGGCTATGGGAACATTGTCTGTAAGTGTGAGTCTGAAATCGATGACTGAACAAGCAAGACTCTACTGACTTCTAACGTCGCGATACATGTTTAAGGGTGTCAGAATCGAGGCGGAGCCAAATCCGCGGTCCGTTTTAACGTAAGTCGAGCCGTTTTCAAGTTGTTAGAAAAATATGCTCAGATTTCAAAAACATTGAAATGGCCCTATTAAAATTTGCCCTAGATGGAGCATACCAAATTTCAAGTCGATATTCCAAAAACTATAGATTTGACAGTGTTCTAAACTTTTATGGGAAATCCTTCCCATAAGACAGACTTCCCATAGAACAGTTACCCATCTGGAAAGCATTCCCATAGGCACGTTTCCCATAGTCAGAGCATGCCCATAGGCAATTTACCCATGGGTATCGAATCCCTATG